AAACTTACTGCTGAGAGCTGAAGATACAAGTTACACAGATACAAGTCACCTACAAACACCRATATTCTTCTAGCAAATAAATCTCATGTTACTCTGCTACAAAACAATCTACACAGAAAGTCAGTGCTCTTGTTGCGGTACAGTGCTCCTTGGAGAAGATGTAGACCCATTAATCAGTGAATAGCAGTGCTAAATGAAATAATTATTGACCTTTACAAACCCATACCTAAGGGTATGCTCCTCCTGTAGCACTCTGATTTTTTTTGCATTTTAATGTATCACTAGTGTAACAACAATATGCTTGCTGAATTTTTTTGGACTTTCTCCCCAATATTTCAGTCTTGATATGTTCTTAGTGTGGGGCTGCTACAACAATGACATACAATGATAAAATATTCTCCAGATGCAAGATGAAGAAGYATTTGCAGGGGATTTGACTGAGATCAAACTCATTCCAGGTTGTTTGATATGAATTGGGTAGAAATGAAGTGCTTGTTCATTAAATCCTTCTGCTACTTACCTCATCTTAGCCATATTTGAAAAGGTAATTGCATTCCCAATAGCGAAAGTGATTTGAAACGATTTGCTAGAGTCCCGATGAAGGATTGTGATGCAAACCCCGGGGGTTATGCAATTCTAACTATTAATTTTTATTTGTTTTTAAGAACTAGACCTCATCATAGTCACTGATAAATTTGCTAATGCAAGTGTAGTTATCTTTGTAAAATGGGCACAGAATCCCCTCTAGCACAGAATATAGTTTCCTGCASTGAAATAAATAGTACAATAGTGACATGTTACAATTATCACAATTTAGAACCCACAGCTACAGGAAAAAGTCACTTGTGAACCACTGAAAACCAGCTTTTTGCCCTCAGGATTAAATAAGCTTAGGCCATTGCTACAGACATTTATGGAAACTCTTGAATATCTTCCAGTGAAGGAGATTACAGAACATTTAACTCTTTCACCATCCCCAAATATTTCATAAGGAACTCTATTTTTTTCCTGCAAAGTTTCTTCTACTCTCCCCCCCCCACCCCCAACCCATGCACAGGAAGAAATAACTGCACTGTCTCCATAGTCATCTTCTGTGAAAAGGTTATGTGCTCCCTCCCATCTCAATAGAGAGAGAGGGGAAAAGAAACAAAACAATCAAAAAAACCCCACCAACAAACTGAATAACACTGAATTCCTCCAGTGCTTCCTCATAGGTCACGCTTTCCAGCTCTTTCAGCATACTTGCTGCTCTCCTTTGGACTCTAGCCAATTTGTCCGCAACTTTTTGAACTTGACAAAGTGCTCCCAGTGCCAAACAAAGATGAATAATTATCTCCTATGTTCCACAGATTGGGCTGTCCTCTTAATACAGCTCAAGATCATGTTTCTCTTCCCCTGAGCGGAAAAAAAAAAAACCCACCACCAAACAAACCAACCCTCCAACCCCAGCCTTCACTTATATAGCTTAGGAACACACTATGTCCTCCAGAGCCTTTTCAGCAGAGCTGGTACCAGCAAGACACTCCTCCTCTTGTTTTATTAATTCTTTCTCATGTGAAGCAATTTGCATTACCCAAATGAATTATATCATTTCAGTTTGTCTTTTCTAGATAATTTAACCTTGCAAAGCGCATCCAGACAAACAATGAATTACTTCAAAGGCTTGTAATAAAAACCCTTCACTGGTTTCTATGAGCTCAACGTTAGTARTTTTCTAATTAAAGATGAATTCTGACTGCAATAAAATGGGATATGCTTTGTGCAAGGAAAGAGGCTCACAGGAGACCTATCCTTAATGATAAAAGCCAGTTTTCAATTCTGAGGTGACTTTTTTCTTACTAATGAGATTTGGTGGAAAATTCTTATTCCCCTACATCAAAGAACACATAAGGAGGCAAAGCAGCACAACTGCTGTGTCACAGCGACCTGAGGACTAAAATAGGAAAGTAACCCCCAACACACCCCACCAGACCACACACACAGACACACACACACAGGATGAATTCCTGTCATCTTCCATAGGAGGATTTACCTCGGCCAGATTTACATGGTCAGGAATACCAAATAAAAAATATTTTTTTAAAGGAATGTAAAAACCATATGAAGACATACAAGAAAGATCCTGTCTGAACAAGAAAGAATTGTTTTAGTGTGCAATAYGAATGTTTTAGAATAAGGATACACCTCCCTCAATTTATTTTGGGATGGCTTTTACTACAGCTTCATAAATACATCCCAAAAAGACAGTGCTTTTCTGCAAACTTGAGTTTTAAAACTGAATAGTTTGGGGGCAGGAGGAAAAAGAAATATTTTAATGAAGTGTCAAAAAAGTGGGGATTTTTTTTCTTTTAACTATTTTCCTTAAGATTTAATTTTGACTTCATCTGTTTTTTTGTCTCTACCTCCTTTCTCTTCTCATTTGCAAAATACAAAGAAAACTACTTACTACTCACAGGATGGCTCTAGCATCCCTGTCCAGGATAGCAAGAACTTGGCCACATAAGTAATCTAATGGCAGAGCCAATCTGATGGTGACTATATCGGGCYTAGTAAGCAAAACCAGAAATACCAAAACAATTCACATTCTATATACTCAGAACTGGAACTTCTTTTCTGTGAACCCCATATGGGATACTCCCAACTGGGAAATGTGGTTGTAARGAAATAAGAACCTTCCTACATTTTGACATTTTATTTTTCCATGGAGTTTCCAAAGGATGCAGTGGCGCAGGTTAGGGCACAGCCACTGAGGCAATGATTCATCCTCTGTTAAGAGGCCGGCCACTCCGCTGCCCACCTGGGAAGCCCCTAAAGAAAACAGCAATCTCAYCTGCTGCTTGTGGAGAATTAGACTTCGTACCAGCAAAAAGTTTTCTGCTAAAATAACATGGYATTTGAGTGCAGGTGTTTGGTATTGTTTCATTAAAGGAAGATGTCCCATTTCTACACAGCAGTAAAATATATTTTAGACAACTTTGTGTGTAGGCAAACAACAGAGTCAAAGTTTTAACTGTCAAGAGGCTGAGAGTCAAGGGTTTCTGAACATCCAGGGCTTTACAGGCATTTAAAACCCTACCTTATATTCACACCTCACAGKAAATGAAGGTCTAACACATATATTGATTTGATATTTACTCAAGGATAAAGGTGGGGTACAGTTAGACCTGAGTGACTCCTTTGGTATCTAAGTACTTCTGATGTGAAAGCACAAAGGTGAAAGCATCAAGTGTACTCCTCCCTCACCCATGATAGCACACAGTGGCAATGCCACGATGCCAGGCTTATTCCTGCAGCACAGCCGCACATCGCTAACATCTAATCACAACTTAATAGCTTGATGAGCACTTTTCACCATGTTTAACGGGCAACCAGAGTCACACTGCAGCTGAAAGTGTCCTGCAGACTACAGCCAAGAGGAACCAGTGACAAAGAAAGATACAGCTAACACCAGCCAAACAGTAATTCTCAGCAAGTGCTTTGCACTGAAAGCTTCCCCCTCCCCACCCTCTTATTCCCTGCTGCTGTTTGCTCAAGAGCTACATGTAGATGGTTTTTGGAAAGTCCTCCTTCCTTGCCCATACCAAATCCTGTTCAATCCCTGTTCAATCCCTAGCTATTAGTCTTCCATTGCTCCCCAGATGATTAGGTAAAATGCCTGGCTTTTTCCCCCCGGACATTACTTTGTGCCCCAACCGTGCATGTGGCTAGTGAATGACACTTTTAACCTCATTATCAGCTCTTCCAACTGCTTTCTGCTTTGATAAAACAACTCACAGAAAATCCAGTTAAGACCAAGTATTGATCCCCCTTCAGTTACAGCAGACACCAAGTTTTCATTGCACGGCCTCTAACACTGAATTCTATATACACATCAATGACTTGAAAAGTGTGTACCAGGGAACATACACGTACGTGTATCACACTCTGTGGCCCARTCAAGGCCGTAGCCACTATTAGTACCATGGTGCACTCAAAAATAGTTCAGAGGAAACTCCCTGCCCTAAGGATTGTGCCAAACAGGCACTACCCAGCCACTGCTGCTGACACACTTGAATGTTTTCTAGCACAAGTCTCAGAATAAAAAAAAATCCTCCTTCATACAAATAAATTGCATTTTTCTTGGGCAGTTTTTCCTGTTACTGAAACTAGCTAATATAGAAAGACTGCACAAAGGTTTGAACTTTACTTTCCTGGAAAACCAGATGTGCACAACTCTTGTTGAAGATGATATATTTAAGAACTTTAAAAATGCTCATCTGCTCTCATTACTGGAGACCAGAATAGTGGGAGTAATGGCAAACACTGCCTGGACAGTCACTTTAACATTTTCCTTCTTTTACTCCTGTTACCCAGTTTGCTTCACTTGTTTTGGACTCTCAAAATAAGCTGTACAACAAATGTGTTCTACCAGAACATACTGAAAAGTACTTGAAGATTAATAATTTGTTTATAAATATTTTGTTCATTAGGAGCTTTTCAAACAAAAATTATCCTTAACTAAATTCAGATTTCCATAAAAAGATGCAGCTGTTTTTGGTAACTGTACACATATCATGCTACAGCTTTAACCATCAGCTATTCAGAGGAGGCCTGACGAAGTCATCATACAGTCATGACTTACAGATTGATGGTATTTGTTTACAGTGCAATGTTGCTGCTTAATCTTATTTGTATCTTACAGCTGCATTTCAGTAAGATATTGCGTCTTCAGAGTCTTAAAGAACAGCTGCTTAGGTTTCCATCTCCCTTGTCACATCTTTAAAATACTTCTTTCCTTTTAATTTGCATAGTATGTTTACATGACTGGAGAATATTAAGCACTGAAAAGAGCATTACACAGAGGCACATGAAAAACAGCCATAAGAATAAATGATGAAAATTGCAATCTCCAGTGGTATTCAGTAATGTTTTGTAGTTTAAAAAAATGTATTTGTAAATAAAATTGAAAGATAAGCCCCATTTGTACAATCATATAAGTGTTTTGCAAGGCTTGCACTCACCATTTTAGAAGGCTTATGATCAGTGATAACTGAAGATTCAGTTATCTTCAGGTCTGAAGTATTAAGTGTCTCGTCCTCTTGATTGTCATCTCTACTTCAARTTTCTCTCCAACATATTCAGTTTATTTAGGCAGAAAAAGCAGCTTTTAAGTGATGCAAGTTCATATACCTTGCTGTAAAGCAAACAAGAAGAGAGTTTAGCACTCAGTTAAGACTACRCTTTCTTTGGCCCCAAAATATTATATTGTAGCCCTTTATTACTAATTTGGAAGAGGCATCTGTATGATATTACTGCACTTGTATTTACAATTTACAAATGGAAACACTGTGCAAGAATGTTATAGTTAATAGTCAGTATCAATCAAGTGGAAATTTTTATTTATTTAGCAGTCACCAGTTCTAATCTTCATCTGCACAAGAGAGAAAATGAAAAAAAGTGCAGAACATGCAAATATACAACAGCTACACACTAAGATATCTGACAGACCAGATATACAATATTTTAACTAATATCTTCTATAACTAGCTATTTTTAGTAATAAAAAGTACAACATTCACTATCACCTGAACACAGTTCACAGAAGTCTAAAGTAATCTATACAAGCTTAAACAGCTACTCATTAGGAAGACTGTAGAGATTTGTTTAGTTACAGAAGGAAATCGTTCAGGAACTGGAGAAAGGGAGCCTGGGATTCCTGTCYGAGACAGCTGGGAAGTAGATCAAATTAGGAACATGGCTTTGCTGCAGAGTAAGCCAGTGGCACAGATGACATTTAGGAAGGAAGAGGCATTGCAATGGAAAGATTCCTTGGGTGCTTTCTCAGTGAGGCATGGAAAGGTATAAATGCGCTTCATAAGAAAGAGAGAGAAGAAAGTTACAGTTCAAAGCAGAGCTTCTAGACAGATTGGGAGGGATGAGGAACTGCTTTTGCCAAACTACTGCAAGAATGAACGTGCCACTGCAATAGGACTTCTACAACATCATACTGTCGTTGTGACCAGGTTCCTTAAATTCAACAATAACATTTTCCAGTTATTGTAATGACATGGGGATTATTATACTATAGCATTACTGTATTACTTTATAGTCGTAAATATATGGTCCTAGTAAAATTGCACTTAAAAAAAAAAAAGGCAGAACTTAAGCTCGCATGCTTGACTTTATGGAGTGCCCTAGAACTCTGCCACTAAGGGGCACTGTTGCTTTATTTAATAGAAGGCAAAGACCCATTAAAATTTATCTTCACTTTAGCTAATTGATCGCTGATTTATTTTTATTAGATATAGCCTCTATACTCRGACCAAAATTTTTATATACATATGCATATATAAGTAGAGCCATCCAATTCTTTTGTTCCTGCCCAATATTCAACAGTTACATAGTATAAAAGCTGATTTCAGCAGGCAGACTGCAGAGGCACCTGTACACACAGTAGTTTCATGAGACTATTATTTTCCCAATAAAATTCAACTGCTTTTCACGCATACTAGTCCTTGGTCACTATTAAAAGTGAGTGTATATTATGGGTTGTAATAGCCCTTCACTATCAATATTACTATTTCTTCTGACTAGCAAATGCTAAAGCAGCAGCGTTGCTGCTCCTGCTCCTCCTTGGTGGCTCAGGGCATTGGGCGGGCAAAGGAATTTCCCTAGTTCAGACTACTCAGTAACTACTGTCTTCACTTCCTTGCCACCAGCTAGTGCTGCCTTATCCTGTCCTCGGCATGCCACATGGCTGCTCTTTTACCTTCATTACTGGGGTACTAAGAAATTGGACACTGCTTCCAATTGCTGTTTTTTCACCCCCTGGCTCAGGTAGTCCTGCTCTTCATAATTTTATATGTCTGAAGCTGAACAGGTTCTGACATAACTAGTGAGACAATAGAAAAACAAAAGTATAAAACCAAGGCAAGTTAAAAACAAAATCAGCTTGGTTACCTGAGGTGCCTCTGAAAGAGCTCTACCAAAGCTCCCTCTTAAAAAAAAAAAAACCACCACACATTAGAATTGGGATCCTTGTGTTTCTCAGTTTTATACAGAAGAATTAAGTCTTTGTTCTCTGGAGTAACAGGAATTCTCATATATTATTACTAAAAAGAAAAAAAAAGCCCACAAATAATCATCTCCCCAGCACTGCCTTATATAGCTCTTTGAGAAGAATCCCTGTCTAAAAATAGAAGTCTCTGACATTGATGTGCCAGGCAGCATGGAAACTGTTGCATTTCAAACTGAAGTTTTTGGAAAGTGCACTCTAATTCCTTTACAAGTGTCTCACAAATGCGCAAAATGCATGACCTGTCCTGTTCTGAACTTTAATAAGGGAGATTGTTTGCAGCCATTGCTATTGCAGCAATAGCTTCCTAGAAACAAGCAATAAAGCAAAAGGTGCTGGATTTACAGCTCTGCTTTCTTCTCCCCCACCCTCATGTACAACTGCCAGCCTTTCCTCGGCTGCCTAATTGGGCAAGATACCCTCGACTTAAGCCCTGCATTTGCACCAAGGCCAGAAGAGCAGATGATAAAAACAAACAAGCCTGGCACACCAGCAGAGCAGCTTTTCCAATTCTCACAAACACATTCCACTTCAGAATGCACAGAAATGGAAGGGGACCAAATCCTCCTAGTCCAGTTGTCAAAGGTGCATACTACCCAATTTCATTGGGGTYATTTACAGAAAAATGTCAGCAACTCTGCCAGCATGCCTGAACTGGAGGCTACTAATAGGTCCAATCCCTCTGACAWCTAAACCCGCCAACATGAAATAGAGCTCAGCACCTCCACGAGGCTTGTTCAGACACTGCTCTGCTAAGACAACAGCCACAGGTGGCCAACACACACRGGAGCGAGAAGCCTGGCTTGGCTTCCACGCTTACAATTCACATAAGGCAATATTTGCTCAGTGCTCTCTCACTGTAACTAAACACTTGCCACGTTAGAAGTCTTATTCCTCCATTGCTGTAATATTTTCCTGATATTCAACATAAGTTGAAAGTGCTATTTTTCCTGAAWCTATGACTACAAGTACTGATTTTAAAATTCTAAGGAAGTGGCATGAATCTAGTCTACTTTGTGGTCCTCAATCCACTTGAGGTTTTAATGTTCTACTTTCAAGACTCTGAATTTTTTATTGGAGTTGGTCCCACAAATAAATTCTCATATATAGCCTTACATAGTGTCTTATTTAAGAAAGTGGTTCATGAATATTAACCTCCATGTCAATCCTATGAAACATAAATTTACAAATGTGTTCAAGGATCTTCTGCACAAGAAAGGTTTCCCAGTTGACTGAGTTTCAACGCAAGCCTCCGCAATAGGCAGAATGGACAGGCTTACATCTATTTATACTACAATTATTTTGTTCACCTGTGGGGATTTACATCCGTTCAGTTATGATCTTTTTAAAGCTGCATCAGATTAAATCCAGGTAAATTCTGAACATTATCGAAGTCTTAATTCTTTTCAGGCTTAGACTAACTGGCTTCCATGTCATTAATTGTYTAATTAAAATCACAGGACTACTAACCTTTTTGGTAACATTATAAGGCAAGTGGTAAAGTATGTAGTGAGAAAAACTGTCTCTTAGTTCCCCGGAAACTTCAGAAAGAGCTTTTCCAGATCTCYATCTGCTGCCTGCTCCTTCATCAGAGCCTCCAGCATCAGCACAGGAACCTTTTCTCCTCTGCAGAAGCAGGACACTGACCTCTCCTTGCTGGCATGTGCACAGTGAGCATCTGTCCACCCTCCAAGGCACCACTGTTGCCTCCCAGCCAACTCTATCCGAGCTATGAGGCAGACCTGAGGCCAAGGCCAAATCCCATGATGAGTCACAAAAAAAAAAAAAGGAGCTGTCCAGTAGACCAGGCAGATGATGCCACAGGGCAGCTACGTGCGCCTCTGTGTCAGCATCTGTGTAATATTCAGCACATTTTAGGGCTCTGTTCTAAGACTGTCCAGCCTTTACTTACTTYAGTTTTGAAAGTTTGTCTGAAAACATCGTCCCCTAACTGCTAAGTACATTAGAAGAGCGATACGTAGATCTTTATTTTTGTTGCTGCTTTTTCTCGAAGCAAGCCCTAGGAAGTTTTCTCTGAAAAATTATGGCATGGCTGCAGTATTTAATGGAAAAAGTACAGTTGGCAAAGATGYGAAGATGAGAGAAGTATAGAAACATCAGAGATTAGGGAAACTTGGGTAAAACAGCACGATAGGAAATAATGAAATTTGATAGTCAACCTTTTTGAGAGAAGTAGAAAAGCTGAAGTCTCAATTACTTTAAAGAGCAAGTAAAATAGCTCATGAAAACACCATTGTGAAGTCTGATGCGAAATCCTCGCAAACAAAGCTACAAGCTTTCACAGGGGACAACCTTATGCAGTCTATACCAATGGTTATGTAACTGAACAGTCCAGCTGAAGATGACCACAAATAACAGCAGCTGGATCTCAGTCTCTGTACTAAGCTCTCAAGGGATGTAGAGGAGTGTTTAATTCATATTTCTCCACTGACTTGGAGCTCTATATTTTCCTTTTAAGAGCAGCCATTAACCACTGTATCTGTGTACAGTATTATAATTGTTTAAAGTATATTATCTAGATGCTGCATTTATCAGCTGTTTATGTTATTGTGGGTTTTTTTTGAACATTTTGAATCACTCATCCTAATGAAATTCCCAAAGCAGCACGCTGGCATTTGAGCTCTGTCCCTAATGAACAGGGCACTATACAAACAGAAGGCTCTTAAAAACCGAGACACTGCCCTCTTCATTGGAAGTGAGGCAGAACTTGTTACCTCTTCATAATCCTGGTGTTGACTGAATTGCTGCCTAGCCCGTGAGGCAAGTAGCAAGAAATACATCACTGAACACACATTTCAGTATAACCTTGACATCACTGACAGTGATAGCTACAGCCTCCAGTGAAACGGAAACCTATAAGAACACGTTTGGTTTTTTATGCTGCCTTTGCTATTCCTTCTGGGCAGATGACCATATGCCATGCTTGCATATTTGCAAACACATGACATAATGTTAGGGGATTGTCATAAGCAATACCATTTCTGGGAACGAACTTTTGGAGACTGAATAAGGATTTAACTATCATTGGACTAGTTCTGCACTACAGATTAAATGTCCTGTCACTACAGATTAAATGTGCTGTCTAACGTGGATTTGTA